ACATCTGCACCCTTATTTCTCTTTTTCGTGAATTTTAAATATATTTCTTTTTCATTTCGTAATATAAAATTTATAGAAAATGTTATTCTTTGAGAACAATTCTGAATAATTACCAAATATTATATTACATCTTTGTGATCGACTTGGAAAATTATCACTATTTTTGGAAGTTTTATTGAATTATAATTGATATATTTGTTTAGAAATACTTCTAAATATCTGAAAATTCATATTTTCTAGTTTTATAAATTTTAAATTTACGTGATTTACTATATAATGACTAAATCACATCAAGCGCCATGTGACAAGGTTCTTACTCACATATGTGTAATAATTAGTGGTAGACTTACGATCTCTCTTGTCATTAGTATATTGATAATATGCTAAAACTACTCATTACTTACCTTAAAGTAAATATATTTTTGGATAAAATATCTTATTTTAGCATGTTATTATTTATTAAATAACCAAATAATAAATTTATAATGATTTAAATTTTTTTCTATTTAAAAATATTCTTAAATTTTTATGACTTTGTTTTTTAAATTTAAGTCATGAGTATATTTAAGTAATTTAGAAAAAAAATATTTTATTTCACACATTTTAGCTACCATGATTATTTAGTTCATGAATATTTTATTCAAGCTATAATTACACAGAATGCAAAAAGATGAGGTATCTCACATGAATAGAAGACGAGAAGACATGGACTGCTAGTTAATGATTGTGGCTCTTAATTCGGTGGTTAAGAACATCTTGACACCAAAAGTAGTGGTTAAAGATGTCTTGTTGTCATAAGTGACAGTTAAATACATCTTTTCTCAACCATCGCCTTTTAGTGGTCCTTATGTGGTGGAGATATCCAATCAATGACCTAGATCTCTCTATATTCTAGGATCAATATCTAACAATCCAAAAGGGGTTTTATGCCCAAAGTTTGTGGGCACAAGTTTTAAGATGTGCTCTTTGCATATCCATATTTGGATGGACAAATTGGCTTCAAGACAATTATGAAAATGAGGGAGAGGAGCTAGAGATATTTTGAGAAAGGTTTAAGGGTATTTTAGGAAACTTTATCATTTATATGTATTCACTGCATCTTCTTTCCTTCCCATTTTCTTAGAAAGAGTCCCAACAATGGTTGGTTGGAGTGAAACAACTTTTATTTTAAAGATACATTCTTCTTCCCCTTTTGTGTAATCTTGAGTGATCAAGAGAGGCCTTAAGGGTAAAGTTGAGTATTGAGGATTACTTTGTAAGGAGTAAAGTGCTAGAGATCAATCTATTAGAGGAATCCACCTACCCTTGTGATAAGTCTTCATTACCATGAGTTAATAATTAGTAAATAATATATTTTTAGCCTTAACTCATGATAAATAGATTAATATTTATGTTAAATTGTGAAAAATAATTTTCAATTGATTAATGTGAAATTTTGGCTAATCATATGATTTTCTAAAAATTGATATGATTTTTATAGTCTTATTTTTGAGATAAATAAAGAAAAATATATTAAAATAAAAATAGAACAAAAAGGGGAGACTCACTAACCAATCGGGCCTGCAAGCAAGTTGGAAGTGCAATCGAGGGGAGCTGCGAGCAAGGGCTCAAGTGGCTAAAACCGATGGGGGCACACGTGCACCACTCCCTTTCTATGTCACTAGTGGCTAGATAGTTGTGGGGCAAGGAGTGATTTGTACACACGAGAGAAATGACTCATTACTTGGAAATGTGATATTAGTATTTATTCACCCAAAATTTCAGTGCACAAGTGATGTGAGACTAAATCTACACCACACCTCTCTCGAAAGGCTTTGAAGGTGGGCAACTAGAACGAGTTCAAATTCTCCTAGAGCCAAAACTTGTATTTTTATCTAATTATCACAACTTTCCTACAAATCGTCAATGAAGGATTAAGCCATCATAATCGTTGGATCATCAATAAAAATATTATCAACATAATTTATAGAGTATTATTACTAAAATTACTAAACAATTCACAATAAAAAGATTACAAATCCATCGCGTAAATCATCTCCGATTGATCAACAAACAAGCCGTCGTGGGGAAGAGGACGATCTACTAAGATACGAGTTACAACCTCTTGAGAATATACCAGATGTAATGAAGAGTCTCTTCTTGTTGTGGAGACTTGAGGATGAAGCTCCATAACATGTGCCCCACCTCTATTCAGCCCCTCTTCGTCAGGTGGTAGCTATTAGAGAGCTGCAAAGTCACCATTTTTTGACTCTGTTGGGTGACAGTCATCAGAGATGACTCAGCAACCCATTTCATTGATCTCTAAACTTCACAAGAAGATCTAAAGATTGCCCACGTCGTCCTTGTCCAAAGAGAGCCTTCGAGATCGTGGACACTTCACGACAATCCTCTCGAATGCTCAAGATTCTGGTACATCACTGACGCATCATCATTGGGACACCAAAACTCTGTTTTCTTACTTTCAATTTAATTTTTACTTCATTTAGTAATAACTTGTATGATTTAAATTTACCAAACTATACTTCCTTTAATTACGATTCTTTTGGCTTTTACGAATCTTAATTTGATCAATTAAATCATTTGTAATAACTTACATAAAAATCACAAAGTAGAACTTTGTTTCCACCCAATTCATGTTCATCGAATGCTAATGTCATCATAACATCTGCACCCTTATTTTCTTTTTTTATTAATTTTAAATCTATTTCATTTTCATTTTATAGTATAAAATTCATAAAAAATTATATTCATTAAGTAAAATTCTAAAAAATTACCAAATATTATATTACATCCTTGTGACTTGAAAAATTATCATTAGTTTTGGAAGTTTTATTGAATTATAATTTATATATTTTTTCAAAAATACTTTTAAATATCTAAAAACTAGTATTTTTTAGTTTTATAAATTTTAAATTTACGTGATTTACTATACAATGACTAAGTCATGTCACCTTGGCAACAGATAAAGATAAGTTGAGTAATCTTTTTTCATGTGCTTATTTGTTTCATTTCGTTCTTCTCTAGGGTGAAACCTACGGTTTTACATAGGTTATGAGTAGTTAAATTATTTTTTGTTAACCTCAACGACTCTTTCTCATTAAAATACTTTCATTAATTTTTTCTCCTTGTGGCTTGATCTCTATCTTACCCTCTCTACTTATTAGATTGATTAGGGTAGTTGAAATATAAATAGTTTTAGATGACCTCACTTAGAACTTATGACATCCCAAGTCTAGAGTTATCAAATGGCGACGTTGCTAAGGAGAAAGTACTTTCATCTTGTGATTTCTGATTATGATGAATGTTTTTGAGTTTTTCTTGAGCTATATTTTAAGGAAGACATTCAAGTAGGTGTTGGAAGAAGAAATGAGAAGTCAAGCATCATATTGATATAATCAAGTATCACTTCTCATTATTTCCTATAATTTCAAGGATACCAGATTATTTTGAAGTTGACAATTTTCTAAAAAATTTTAAAAAATTTCTAAGTGCTTTTCACATTTGTTTGGATTTTCTAATGTCGAATCAATTTCTGAAACTTTTGGACTGAAAAAGGCATTTTCTATATAATTAAACTGATAAAATTTTATTTATTATATAAAAAATGAGAGACATTCAAAAAATCTAGTGGGTCTTGAGATCTATAGATTTACATGAAGTCTAATTTCCTATTATTTTTATGATATTTGATGATTGCTACTAGGTCTCAAAACCCTAGATTGATAAATTTGGATTCATCTTTTAAGGATATTATTGGAACCCTTAGGGATAACCCTTCATCTTCTATTAATTCTGTTGAGGAGATTTTTAAGCAGCCTACTTATATGAATCAATTCCCTAATCAAATGGTGAGAAGATCCATGAGAGAGTATTCTATCCCCTTTGAGAATTGTCCTACTACAAGAGTAAATAAATGGCCACATCATAATGAAATCAACTTTAAAATTGATAATGCATTGTTAGGTATTTTATGTGTCTTTTATGGTTTACCTAGGGAGGAATCATATAATCATCTTGAAGAATTTTCTTATGTGTGAATTTAATGGAATCAAAGGTGTTCCAATAGAAACCATAAAAATGAAGTATTTTCCACTTGCACTTAGAGAAAAGGCTAAAGAATGGTGGAATACACTTGATATTACTTTTGATTTGTGGAATGAAATTGAAAATATTTTTTGAAGAAGTTTTATTCTCCTGGAAGACACTTTCAAGAGGATGATCAGAAAATTCTCTCAAGGGGGAAATGATTCCTTTTATGAAGCATAGGAGAGATTCAAGGGCTGCCAAAGGGCTTGCCCTCATCATGGGTTTCTTACATGGCAGCTTCTGCAGATCTTTTAGGAAGACATTGGAGAAAAAGAGAAGCATACTGCACATGTATAGTGGAGGATGATTTTTGAACAAGAGTGATGAAGAAGCCATGGCTGTCAGTGAAGAGGTGGCTGAAATGAATTCAACTGAGATTGACTCCACCATGAATGGGAGAACTCTTGGGCCCGAAAGAGGAGGTATACTCAACATCAGCCCAATAGAAGGAAAAAAGAAGTATAAAGAGGGCAAGCAAGTTGAAGAACTTAAAAAGGAGATGAAGAATGAGTTATCAACAGTGCAAAAATCTGTTACCAAAGGTATGGAAGAGATGAAGAAAATTATTTCTATCATGATGCAGGGTAAGCAAGCTATGGAATCAGCGGAGTATTGCTCTTGGTGCAATGACCAAGGGCACTTAGACCAAGTCATGATCGTGGGTGCTTATGGTTACAGAAGACCCCAGAATCAATCAACTTGGAACCCTAATATGAGGGTGACCAATCGATGGAACGAACAAGGCTTCAACACATAGTAAGGGAGGTCAAACTCAAAATTTTCAAGCTAACTGTAATTTTGCCTCATCTACATCTTTTCAACCAAGATTTTGGGAGAACCAAGGTATGGATTTCAATTAGAACATCCAAGGAGAATCAAGAAAAAAAGAGCAAAGGGATGAGGAAATGGTAAGCATGAGGACCCAAATGAACATGATGATGAAGGTGATGGAGAACATCAGCATGAAGTTAAAGGAAGGAGGACGTCAGCAAGTCAGCTTTCAGAGAGGTAAAACTCATGAAGAAGCTTCAACTAGCCAAAGGGAAGGTCGATTTCCAAGCCAACCTGAAATAAATCCTAGAAATCTTCATCATGTAAACCATGCTATATATGATGTTCTTGAAATTTCTGAAAATATAGAGAGCATGTATGCCATTTCAAACTTGAGAAATGGAAAAGTGTTACTTGATCCTTATTTATTTGATAATACTTTTTTTGATAAGGATGAGGAAAACTTTAGGCTAGAAAAACCAAGTGACAGTGAAAAACTTAGGGAAGAAGAGAACATTAGAGATAATGAAAATCATTAGTTAGAAAATTCAAAAATTAAACCTCCAAAACTTAGTGAGTATCAACCTAGAATTCTATTTCCTGAAGCTCTAAAATGCCCTAATGGAAAACAAACCACATCTCATGATCGTATCATGGGAGTTTTTAAGAAAGTCACTATTACCATTCCTTTAGTTGATGCCATTCAAAATATTCCTTCTTATGTAAAATTCGTGAAAACTCTTTGCACCCCAACTAGAAGTAATAAGAAGGAAATGGTACAACTCTTTGTATCTATTAGTTCTTTTATTTTGAATAAATGCCTAGATAGAAAAACAATCAAGGTGCTTTGATAAGTCTTCATTATCATGAGTTAATAATTAGTAAATAATATAGTTTTAGCCTTAACTCATGATAAATAGACTTATATTTATGTTAAAGAGTGAAAAGTGGTTTTCAGTTGATTAACATATTTTTTTGGGTAATTATGTGATTTTATATGATTTTATATGATTTTTATAATCTTACTTTTGAGATAAATGAAGAAAAAGAAATAAAAATAAAAATAAAATAAAATGAGGGGGGCCCACTGGCCAGTCGGGCCCATAAGCGGGTCGGAAGTGCAGTCGGATAGGAGCCACGAGCAAGGGCTCAAGCGGCTCAAGTAGAAATCAATTTGAATAAGGTCATGAAATGTCCAAAAGGATCTAGTGAGGATGACTACTTTGTTTTTTTTGTTTTGTTTTGGTTAAGATTTGATTATATTGATGTTGATGAAATGTTTATCCCCGAGCCTCATACGTGAGAACTAGGGGAGACAAGACATAGCTCTCTTTGGAAAGTGGTAAATGAAAAGTGAAGTAGTAGATGCGACCAAGGTTGATCATTTCGACTGAGATTGTTGAGAAATCCTCCCATCCATAGTGTGAGGATAGCTTTGTGTTGGTGGTGCTGCGTACGCCAAGTCATATGCTGGTTGAGGGTTGGCCCAGGTGATCTACTATTGTTGGGGGGCGATAGATATCTGTGTTCACTATATACAAAGTGTTAGCATGTCGATCTACTCCAAATGATGTCAACCTCGAGCTTCAACTAGTAGTGAGGATGACTACTCAGTTGACTTAGTAGATCCTTTAAGGTTTCAAGATTCTGTATTTTTGGTTGATGATATGCCAATTTAGGATGAAGAAAGACATGAGGATCATTTTGAGGAAAAAAACTTTTCACTTGAGCCCAAATTAGAGTTGAAACCACTACCTTCTTCTGTCAAGTACATTAACTATGTACACAATGTCAGGGCAAGTGACGGTGAGGTAGATCAGCTTTCCCAATAATTGTTTGTACCGATTGGCATCATCTAGGAATAGAGATGATGTATTCAAGAAACATAGACGTGCCTCTATTAGTGATGACTCTAGCTTGCACCCAAGTAACCTAATCACTTAAAACATATCAAGATCACACTTTCATTGAGAGAGAGCAAGCTTGTCATCCTAATAGATAAATTCAATGTCAAAGAAATATTGTGGAATCTTTAGATCTCGCACATTGAAGTGTTGTTGTAGATATGATTTCATAACTTGAATGTTTACTTCATCACTTCTAGTCATAAGAATATCGTCCACATAAACAATTAGGATAGCAATGCTAGATTCAGTAGTCTTTGTAAGCATTTTAGGATCCACAAGATATGATGAAAATTTGAATTGTATCAAAAGACCACTGAACTTGGTGAACTAGGCACATGAACTTTGCTTAAGTCCACAAATAATACACTATAAAAGACACATCTTTGATGACTCTTCTTAAGTAACATACTTAGGAGGTTACTCTATAAACACATGTTCCTCAAGGTCATTGATAAGTCTTCATTATCATGAGTTAATAATTAGTAAATACTATAGTTTTAGCCTTAACTCATGACAATTAGACTTATATTTATGTTAAAATATAAAAAGTAGTTTTTAGTTAATTAATGTGATTTTTTTGGCTAATTATGTGATTTTATATGAATTTATATGATTTTTACTATTTTACTTTTAAGATAAATGACAAAAAAGAAATAAAAATAAAAATATAACAAAATGGGGGGTACCCGTCAGCCAGGCAAGCCCGCAAGCAGGTCGAAAACACAATTAGGGAGGAGCCGCAAGTAAGGGCTCGAGCAGCTAGGACCGATAGGGGCATATGTGTGCCACTCCCCTTCCATGTCACTAGTGGCCAGCCGATTGTGGGGTAAGAAGTGGTCATACACACAAGAGAAAGGGACTTACTTGTAAATATAATATTACTATATATTCACCTCAAACTTCAGTGCACAAGTGATTTGGGACTAAACTTGTATCACATCTTCCCCATAAGGCTTCGATGATTTTAATACCTACAATACCCCTTATTTATAGAAGAGATATACCATGATAACGTCATTTTATAAAGGCATTAGAGTACTTATGTCAATCTCTCTCATGTAGCGGGCAACGAATGGAGGTTCGAATCCTCCTAAAGCCAAATCTCATATTTTTATCTGATTATTGTGACTTTCTTGTAAATTTTCGGTGAAGGATTAAGCCGCCAAAATCGTTAGATCATCGGCGAAAATCTCATCAATACGATTCGCAGAACATTATTACTAAAATTATTGAATGATTCATGATAAAAGGATCATAAATCCATCGAGTAAAGTATCTCTGATTGATTGACGAACAAACTGTCGTCGAGAAGAGGACAATTCGCCGGGAGATAAGTTGCCACCTCCTAAGAGCATACTAGATGTGATGAAGAGCCTCTTTTTATTGTGCGGACCTGAGGATGAAGCTTTCCGACACACGCCCCACCTTCATCCAGCTCCTCTCTATCAGGTGATAGCTGCTAAAGAGCCACAAAGTCATCATTTTTTCTACTTTGTTGGGTGACAACCATCGAAGATGATTTGATAACCCATTTCATTGATCTCTAGACTTTGCAAGGAGATTTAGAGATTGTTCACGTCGTCCTTGTCCAAGGAAAACCTTCGAGGTTGTGGACACTACATGACGATCCTCTTAACGCTCAAGATTTCGGTGCATCGCTAACGCATTACCACCGTGACACCGGAACTTTGTTTTCCTACTTTCAACTTAATTTCTACTTCATTTAGTGATAATTTTTGTGATTTAAATTTATCAAGATATACTTCATTCAATTATGATCTTCTAACTTTTATAGATCTTAATTTGATCATTTAAATCATGTATAATCGCTTACATAAGAATTATCAGACATAACTCTATTTCCGCCCGATTTGCATTTGCCAGGTGTTGACGTCATCCTAACGTCTGCACCCTTATTTCTTTTTTTCGTAAATTTTAAATATATTTCATTTTTATTTCCTAGTGTATAATTTATAGAAAATAATATTCTTTGAATAAAATTCTAAATAATTACTTGATATTATATTACTTCCTTGTTATTGACTTAGAAAATTACCACTATTTTTGAAAGTTTTATTGAATTATAACTAATATATTTGTTCAGAAATACTTTTAAATATCTAAAAAATTGTATTTTTTAGTTTTATAAATTTTAAATTTATGTGATTTACTATACAATGACTAAGTCACGTTAGTCATCATAGAGAAAGGTATTAGAAACATCCGACTAATATAAAGACCATACTTGATTTACCACTAGAGAAAGTATCACTCAAATAGAGTTGAACCAAATCACTAGAGAATGTCTAAGTGTAGACAATGTCATAGGTCTACGTGAATTCATGAGCAACCAAGTGAGCCTTGTGACTGATCTAAATTATAATATTGAAATTCGAAATAATCATTTTCACCATATATAGGACATACACTATATATATTTAATTAAAAGTTACGAGGCTTTCTAATATTCTCAATAAGTAAATCAAGTTTTTCTAATATTTGATTAATCTGATTAACCTCATTTCTTAAATTACAATCATCATCATGATACAATTCATAAATTTCTCTCTTCTTATTCTTATCATATAACTCAAAAGAGGCTTGATCTCTAGAATTTTCACTTAAATTCTCATAAAAGGTATAAATTTCATCAAAGGTTTTCTCTATAAAAGTTCATCCACATATAGAATCAACCATATTTCTATGTTGTTCTAATAATCCATTTTAAAAAATTCTATTGAGCTATCACTTATGTAAAGCATGATGAGGACATTTTCTAAGTAAATATTTAAATTTTTCTCATGTCTCATGTAAAGCTTCTCTTAATCTTTGAAAAAAACTCCATATATATTTTCTCATATTTTGAGTTTTTCCTAAGGGATAAAACTCCATGATGAGAACATGTTTTTCTAACTAGTTAATTCTCTATCTAATGTGGATAGTCAATGACTAATTTTGTCTCTAAGTGTATGAAGAAATAATTTCATCTTAATAATTTTTAGTGTAACTTAAGGGAGACTAACTAAATCACAGACCACATAAAAAAAAATTAAATTCTAATGAGGTTCATCTAAAGTCAATGCATAAAAATTAGGGAGCATTTGAAAATTTCTTGGATTTATTTCGAATTTAACAATATGTGTTAATGGAACTCTAATATTGGATGCTCTTTGAAATAAATCAGGGATATAATGATTTTTCATAGCTATAGGATTGTTTTCAATTTGACTTGTACTTCCTTCAAGATCCATCAAAATTATTTTTTTTTTTCAGATTTTTAATGTTGAATTAAATAGTGAAAAGATTTTCTAACCTTAGATGCAAGGATCTTCTACCATACATAAAAATGAATAAATTTGAGGAAAAAAATTAATAATTATTACCATCCTTCAATATTCTCCAGTCCTTGCCTTGTTTCCCTTCATTTTTATTTTTTTTGACAAGAAGAAAATAAAACAAGAGTTAATTTATTTATTTTTATGTACTCCGAGAGAAAAAAAATACTAAATGTTATGTAATACATCCCTTGTAATAGCACGAAAAAATTTGAGGTGACTTAACTGTTGTGTAGTAAATCACATAAATTAAAAATTTATAAAACTAGAAAATATCAATTTTCAGATATTTAGAAGTATTTTTGAACAAAGATATCTATTATAATTTAATACAAGTTCTAAAAATAGCGTTAATTTTTCAAGTTGATCACAAGGATGTAATATAATATCAAGTAATGTTTCAAATTTTTTCTCAAAGAATATGAGTTTTTATGAATTTTCTACTAAGAAATGAAAATGAAATATATTTAAAATTCACAAAAAAGGGAAATAAAGGTGTAGATGTTAGGATGACATCATCATCTAATGAACACGAATCACACAGAAATAGAGTTTCGTCTGACGATTCTTATGTAAGCAATCATAGATAATTTAATTGATCAAATTTAGATTTGTAAAAGCCAAAAAAATCATAATTGAATAAAGTATAGTTGGGTCAATTTAAATTACACAAATGATCACTAAATAAAGCAGAAATTAAGTTGAAAGTAAGAAAATAGAGTTCTGACGTCGCGGTAGTAATGCGTCGGCAATGCACTAAAATTCTGAGTGTTCGAGAAGATTGTTGTGCACTGTCCACAGCCTCGAAGGCCCTCCTTAGACAAAGATGACGTGGGCAATCTCTAGATCTCTTTATGAAGTTTAGAGATCAATGAAATGAGTCGTCGAGTCATCTCCAACAGCTGTCACCCAACGGAGTAGACAAAATAGCGACTTTATGACTCTTTGAAAATTGTCACCCGATGGAGAAGAGTTGGATGGAGGTGGGGTGCATGTCAGGGAGCTTCATCCTCAAGTTCGCATAGTAAGAGAAGACTTTTCATCACATCTCCTACACTCTTAGGAGGTAGCAATTTGTCTCTCAGTGGATCGTCCTCTTCTTAATGATAACTTGTTCGTTGATTAATCAGAGACAATTTACTCGATGGATTC